TGTTAGCCTCCTCAACAGTCTCACCAAAAGGAAGCTCCTTTTGAAAGAGCCCTGGGTGTAATCCGGTGATGTAACGACTACCGCTATCTATCTTAGCAGCACTCTGGGAAAAGTAGCCACATGTAACCCCATATTGTGTTGGGGTTAAATCCCAGTCCATTCTCTAGGGAGCAGAAATGATCTTTAAAGCGGTAAGAGAAACGTCACGCTCCATTCGAGGCAAGAACAAGTTGCGGCCATTCACAGTTTTGAACCATTCATAATTCTTGATATCCAACAAATTAGGATCCTCTGAAGAGTCTCCAAATAAGAAAAAAGGCTTCACAATGTGTTCACGATTAATGGATTCTAGGGGAGCATCAGTGATCATACGCCTAAATGTGGAGGTCGAAGGTTCAGAAAGAAGATCCACTTCGTCTGGTTCCCGTTCTCCGAACAAAGGAATACTCCCAAAGGTAGAGTAATGAGGATGAGTTGCAGCCAGTTGGGTACCATCGCTCCCAGATCACCATGTTGGGGGAGCGTAACAGAGGGATATACAACTACACAAAAAGACAAACAAGGTTAGTCTCTAACAGCAATCACAGCCAAATGACACTAAAGTCATTTCAGCGACAAATTTCGGGAGTCGTTCAAATGATGAACCTCGTGTTACAACAAAAATGTCAAACTTCATTGGCCGAGTAAACTTTGTTCACTTGACAAACCTCAATAGGGAAAGCGAGGTTCATCAGCCCAGTAAAGTTCGTTGGTCAAAATGAGATTCGCAGTTCATCATTTGAAGACAAGGTTCGTCAATCCAATGAACATAATCGATGGAAAGACAAAGTTCATCACATAAATGAATTTCGTTTAACTTGAAGATGACCCTCGTTAGGATAGCCAACGTCATTGGACACATGAGACTTAATTAGCAAATAAGACCCCTCAAAGGACGAGACAGGTCATGAAGACAAGCCTCGTCGATGACGAGCCTCATCAAATCAAAAAGACGTCATCTTTATGATGAGTCTGGGAGAAACTATTCATTTGTCTCAAGAAACCCAAGTCTAAAATAGACAGGGTTGATATCTTTCAGAACGCAAATTGTGCGTTTAGATTCATTACCTGAGAAAGTAGGTAGAACATTGGGTTCGTGTGAAGAACCGACAGCCTTCTTGCCTTTACCCTTGCTTCGGTCTACAGTGATCTTGGAGGCCATTGATTTCGTTTAAGGAGCCTGCGAAGGAGAAAAGATTTAAACATTGGAAGAGGAAAAGTTCAGATAGTCAAAACACCGAAGCGAAGAAAGGACTTCTCATATGATGATTCCCTATATATAGGGGCAGGAAAATGTCGAATCAAGGGTCAAGATCGTCAGTTGATATCGTTTAATGAGATCCCTCCCCAACAAGATCTTCAGACGGGATTCATGGAGATCTCTAGGCACCAGCTGGCAACTATTTATTGGGTTTAGAAAAGGTGCCTAACAGCATTGCTGACGAGACCACAAGCTGTCAGATGACTGTTACCATGACAAAGCTCATATAGAAGGACGAACTCTAGAATGAACTTCGGGGTAAATATCCATGTTGAACCTCATAGTAATGACGAAGGTCACGACTGAACTAGGTTCGTCAGATGAACTCTGCAAGTTCAAGATGCCTATAGGTATTCAAACTGTTTCAGACTACATACAACCCAATTCAAGTCTGAAAACTTTGAAGGGGGTTTTGTAGGCATTCAAAAATGCCAAATTTCAGAATATGAAAAGGATTGTAAAAAAATGAACCTCGTCCTAATCCAAGACGAGGCCTGTTATTCAGTGAAGATCTACTTCAGGAACGAGAGTCATCACACAGTGAAGCTCAACATCAAAAGACAAAGTTCATCATTGAACGAAACTAATCTCGACGTTCGGAGCTCGCCATTGGATACGAGGTTTGAAGCTCATTAGTTGATACGAGGTTCGAAGCTCGTTATTGGATACGAAATTAGAAGCTCATCACCAGATGTAAAACTCATTAGTAAAAATGAGACTCGTCAAAAGGAAAATCCACCAAATTTGCTACGTAGTTGAGCTCAGCTATCGGAGACGAAGTTCGTCAGGCGAAGTCAGTGAAGACAAAATTCGTCAAAAAAAACTGGTTTACTGCAAAGTTCGCTTGGTAGGACGAACCTCGCTACGTATCGAGGCTCGTCTTACTTGCCGAACCCCGTTTTAATTAAAGATGAGGCCCGTCATCCACTTGAGATCTAGCTGTAACGGCTCTGAAGACTTAGTCAACCACGTGGGCTAATCTTCAGGAGCACATTACGGCTTGGGCTAATTTGGAGGAGGCAGTTACGCACTTCTAGCCGTGATCTTAGCACGTCAGTTATGTGCTTAAACCCTATAAATAGCCATGGATGGCTACATGGATAAAGGGTTGGAAATTTTCGACTTGGACTTCAAGAATTATCGGAGATCAGAGTTTCTGCGTACAAATCCAAAGTTCAAACTTTAGTTCTAACTTGCTAACGAATGTCAGAAGCTCCACCAATCTTGTTCTGATCGTCAACGAGAGGCAATCTCAACTCAAGTACCGAGGGAAGCGTTCTTTCGCCACCATGAACCCACGTTAAACAAAGAGAGGCTGAATTAATCTTCTCTTCATCTGTAATCGAGAGAGAGTGTGAGTGATTGTAAGGGTTTCGTACCAAGTGATCGAACCCAGTTTTCTTAAAACAAGAGAATCAATCCCAGTCAATTTTTCGACCCTACAGAGCTAGTGATTTTGGATGCAGGACGTAGGCGTGGGGGCTAAACCTGGGTACATCTATGTGTGCTTTACATTCTGCATTACTTTCTTCATATTATAACTACCTGCGTTTGTAATTTAATATATCTACGTGGTTGTTTGGTTGTTTGGCTAAATTGAAAATTTATAAATTAGTCACAGCCTATTCAACCCCACCCTCAAGGCTATTCCTCGATCCAACAAAGGGCGTATCCAGGTGCGTGCCTCGGGCACGAGGTGCTTAGGCGCTTTAGCGTAGTGGCATAGTACCCCACAGCAGGTGTGGGGCACTACGATTGCATCGGGCCAGCGCCTGGGGAGCACCCCGCAACGCTTAAGGCCTTCGGCAAGGCATGCGCCTTAGTAACAGGGCCGAATCCTAATTTTATTCAGTGGGTTATTGGGTACAAACCCGCTTCCTACTTAAGATGTTAGGGTTCTTCCTTCTCCTACTCTTTCTCCCTATTTCTCCTTATAGTCTCTACTCGGCAGCAGCAAGCAGAAAAGGCGAGCGATGATGAGGGCAATCGGCGGTGACGACAAGCGGCAATCGGTAGTAGCAAGCAGCAAAGGTGAGCATGTACGTTCTTCTTCTCCTTTCTCTTTGTTTTCTTTTGTTTTCCTTTTTATCCTCCTCAGCGATGTTTTTCTGGTCTTTCTTTTCTTTTATTTCTTTTCGTTTTGCTTTCTCTCTTCGCCCTTTCTACCGATATTCCTTGTCCATTTGCAACTAAACTTAAAATCTGAGTTTTTAGTTGTTGACTATTAAGTATAAATTGTTAAGAGTGAGTTGTTATTTTTTTGTCATAAATTAAGTTCTTGATTGTTAATTGTTAACCGAGAGATTGCTGAGATTTGTATTGAGTCTTGACTTTTAATTGTTAAGAGAGAATGGAACTTGATGAATTACTTATAGACATATAGTATCTTCACTCTTTAAAGCTTCACTGCTTTAGTTCTTAATTAAGTTCACTTTTTTAAACTTGATTTGATTTTATTGTTAACTAACTTACAAAGAGAGATTTAATGTTAACTAACTTACTCTTCCTAACTGTTAGTTCTTAATTAAAATTTTTAATTATTATCGCTCTTAACTGTTAACTATTTTTTCTTTGGCTTAATATCAATATGTAGAGTCATGATACTAAGAACTAATTGCTTGTTTCTTATTAAAATTTTTTATTATTATCGCTCTTGACTGTTAACTATTTTTTCTTTGGCTTAATATTAATGTTGTTTCTTATCAATATGGTGGTATCAAGCTGGCATTCCCTTTAATATTGCTCGTCTTAGGTCTTTCAAAAATATGTTAAAGTCCGTAGGGGATTTTGGGCCAAACTTGCCTCCTCTGACATTACACAATTTGACAGAGCCTTTGCTTAGGAAGGAGAAAAAAAATACATTGATGATCTGATACAACCTCATAAGGAGGTGTAGGCTACCAAAGGTTGTTCTTTCATGTCAGATGGTTAGAGTGACAGAAAGGGGAGGACATTGATCAACTTTCTTGTAATCTCTCCTTATGGTCCAGTGTGTCTTTCCTCTATTGATGGTTCTGATGAGATCAAGACGGGTGACAGAATATTTAAGATATTTAGTGAGAAGATTAAGCTCATAGCACCTCAGAATGTTGTTCATATCATCACAAATAACCATTCTAGTCTCAAATATGCAGGTAAAATTTAAGCAATTGATTTTATTTTGGTTATGAATTCTTTGCTATGTTAGGATGCTCTGATATTGATTTTTTTTTCTTTTTTGTTATAGGATTTGAATTGGAAAAGAGTATCCTCATTTATATTGGACTCCGTGTGTTGTTCACTATATTATCTCATGCTCAAGGATATTGGTAAACTACCATATGTGAAGCAAACCTTGAGTCGAGCTATAGAGTTAACGGGATTCATCTACTCACATGCATGGGTTTTGAAGCTGATGAGAGGTGAAACTAACGGCAAAGAGTTTCTTAGACCGACGGTGACACGATTTGCCACGTCACTTATGACTTTGTGAAGCATCCATTGACAGAAAAATAACCTCAGAAAGATGTTTAATTTGGAGAAATGGAGGCAAAGTAAGTGGGCAAGAGATTCAAAGGGCAAATCAGCTGAAAGGATAGTTCATATGCCATCTTTCTGGAGCAACATCGTTCGTATTCTCAAGCTCACGGCTCCTCTCATTGGTGTTCTGAAGCTTGTTGATAGTGACAAGAAGCCTGCTATGTGATCCATTTATGAGGCGATGGATAGAGCTAAGGAGGCTAATGCTAAAGCCTTTGTTGATGATTCAACAAAATATTATGAGGTATTTGATATCATTGATAAGAGGTGGCAAGATCAGCTTCATCGACCTTTGCATATTGCAGGATATTACCTTAATCCTGCATTTTTCTATGACCATCCAAACATCCAAGGGGATGACGAAGTTATGAAATGTCTTTATCAAGTCATTGAGAAGATGGTTCCCACACAAGATCAAGACAAGATTGATAGGCAGTTGGATATATATAGGCATGTCGGGGGTCTTTTTGGTATAGAGATAGCTAAGAGAAATAGAAAGAAGAAGTCTCTAGGTAAATATGCATAATATAAACACTCAATTGACTAGATTTTTTTATAAGAAATACACTACTAATCACACTCTAATTAAATTGACAGCTGATTGGTGGGAGTCTTATGGTGCATCAGCACCAGAGTTGCAGAAGCTTGCTGTTAGAGGCCCCAGCCTTACTTGTAGCTCCTTTGGCTACGAAAGAAAATGGAGTACTTTTGAGCAAGTATGATTAGTTTTATTTTATTCAACAAAATAGATTTAATTCTCTTAGAGATATGGATATTAATTTGATTGATTTGTATAAATTACAGATACACACCAAGAAGAGGAATATATTAGATCATAAGAGGTTGCAAGATCTTTACTGCAAGTACAACCAAGCATTGAAGGAGAAATTTGACTGTAGAGATTCTATTGATCCGATTAAGTTGGCTGATATATATGAAAGCAATGAGTGTTTGTTAGGGTAGTTCGGTGAAGGTGAAAATACAAAGAATGACTTGGTGAAGGGCTAGGACAACCTTACATTTGGTGTCGTAGGAGATGCGATAGGAGCTGAAAAAGATGATGCTATATATCTAAGATTGACTAGTAGGTTTCGATGATCTTCGAGTGGTATTGGTTCATCGTCGAGGAGGAGGGAGCCAGTTTCTGAGTCGGAAGATGAAGAGGAGTTTAATGATGAGGAGCAGAAGACTAAAGAGGAGGATATTCCCTTTGAAGGGGATGATGATGATGTTAATGAGGATGATTAGAGTCATTAGGCTATTATTTTGCTATTTATTTGCTTTGTTTTGTTAGATCGCTTTCTTAGCTTTGATGTTAGTGAACTCCTTAAGTGTTGCTGCTTAGTTGCTTTGTTTTGATGGACAACTTGATTTGCTTCAATGATTAAAATATTATCTTGTGATTTGGTAGTGTATATTTTATTTATATTGAGTCCTTGACATTTTCTATGTGAAATTTCACAAATATATTTTTTCATGCATCTTGTATATCTTCAAAAATTTTGTGGTTTGGAGTGCGCCTTGCTTCGCTTTAGCACGGGCATCGCATTACGCCTTGTGCATGTTCGTGTAAACTGACTTTGCGCCATGCATTGCACCTTGCGCATTAAAAACACTATTGTTCAACAATGCCTCATCATCAGAAAGAATGATCTGCTTCATAGATTTTGCTTGATCAGCTCTAAACTCTAATACTGACCCCCTAAGATCCATGCGGTGCTCAGAAATAATGAGATGCTCCACCACAGGCTCCCTCTCATAGCGAGGAGGGGATTTAACAGGCCCCATCAACAACGCTTGGATTTCCTTCCAAGTGTGAGGGGAAAGTTTGTCGATGCAATGGGGGAAGTGTTAGACCCTGGGGGGGTGATTAGGGTCTTATGCTAATCTAATCCGATTTTATGCCAATTAAAACTAATTCAAATATTATTCTTGCAAGATAGATATACAATATGATATGAGCAAGAATATGCAATATGAACAAAGAGATATATCCTAGCAAAGAGGTATATGATGAAATATATGCAAGGATATATAAACTAATACAAGGGTGAAATAAACATAAACAAAACAAGAGTGATAGTGTGCAAATAAACAATGCAAGCACATAATATGATCATGGAGTTCGGACCTTCCGTCCTACGTCTCCGCTCCCCACTCTCGAGGAGAAATCTACTATTACACCCGGGTTTTCTACGCTCACCCGAATAACGTTTACATCTCATAATGTCGGTTTTTAACTCTCACAGAGCAACATTCACAAACACTCACAACAAATGATTTGTTCTCTAATATAAGGCGAGAACTCAATTAAAGCTCACACTCAATTGTTACAAATCTCACCAACCCAAATATACTATGTATGAAGATACAATAAGCTCAAGTGGGTGTGTGTAAACAATGAGTGAAATCAAATCAAGTCAAACTAAAATCAAATATAAATACTAGCTTAATAGAATGATAATAAAACAATACAAAATGTAAAGCTAGCTAGAGTTTAGAAAAATTCTCTAATAAATGACAAGAGAGAGAGAGAGAGATGGATTGAAGCTCAAATATCAATGAATTGATCTCCACTTCCTCTTGTGGAATTCTTTACAAACCAAACCCTTAAACAAACTTAAAACCAAACTTAAAACAAACTTAAACCCTTGTTAAACTTTCTTTACAAACCAAACCCTTAAACAAACTTAAAACCAAACTTAAAACAAACTTAAACCCTTGTTAAACTCTTGTTTTAAAAACTTCTTAGGTAGTTGAAAGATGAGAGCAAGGGGGTATATATAGCTTCCCAAAATCTCAGTCAAAACCCCAAAGGAAATGACCAAAAATCCCATAGAGAAACAACTGAGGAACTAGTCGTTGGAACTCAACGGTCAGTTCGGCGGTCAACCATGGAAAACTCACAGTCGACCGCGAGCAGCAAAAAGGCTAGGTTTGGTTCTGGACAACAGACGGTCGACCGTTGTAGGCGTCAAAAATTACCTATAGGTCCCTACACACGGCTCGAGATAGAAAGAAGACGATGAACATCGCTATCCGAGTCACAGGGGCTCATTCTGAATCCGGACGACGAATTTACGATTGGAAACAAACTCGACGCGCCAAAACCAGAAAAAGCCAAATCGAGACACTCCGTGGTGTCTTGGCTTGGTCAAGACACTTATAAGTGTCTCGGCTTTGGCGAGACACTCTTGAGTGTCTCGGCCAAGCCGAGGACACTCTCAGTGTCTTGGCTTGGCCAAGACACTCAGAAGTGTCTGCAATACAAAAAAACTCTAATTTTAGTTGTTTTTGGCGGTTTTTCGATCGTTAACCACCTAGATTTGTTCCAACTGATCTGATAATGTGGTTAAGTGGTTTCAACTAAAGATAAGAGGGAATCAACCGTTCTTATCCGAACATAGGGCTCCTGAAGCCTATAAATATAGCCCCAAGGCCTTCATTTTTTAGATCTAGAATTCTCGAGCATTGGCGAAGCCCTGCCGGATTGAGGACTGAAGAGTCACGAATTTTAGAGAGGAGAAGGAGACTTCAATAGATTTTTCGGTATAAAGAAGAGGAGTTCGTCAGATCTGCAGCCCGGTTCGTCTCTTAAGATTACTCCGTTGCGGTGATCTTAAGAAGAGCAACTATCTCGCTGTTGCCGAGATAAGCACTTCGACTTCTTGATTCCTTCACGAATCGATGAAGTTTTATATCTGATCTGATCGTTTGGTGGTCCACGGATATCAACGTCCTCGTCACAGGTCAAGATCCCACATAAGCAGAAGATCAATAAACGATCTCTGTGCTGTTTGACGAGAATTGTATTTTTATTGTGTAAAAGTCTTATAAAAAGACTATCTTTTTGTATTTTCATTGTAACGACTGAAGTTGTATTGAGTACCTCAATGAAGAAACTAATTTTTTTCCCAAACAAGCTGGCGACCACAGTGGGAGCCAACAGCTTCGCTGCCGAAGCTGTCGTGCCACAGCCGACGATCAAGATCCTGGTGTTCGAAGAGGTCGAATACAAATTCGACCAGCAAAAATTCGAGGAATATATTTCCTCCTCCTCCTCCAGATCTTCTTCTTGCAAACGTAGGAAAACCACTGCCGCGAAGAACGTTACTTCAGATCCAAAGACCATGGCTGATGATCTGAACCCGAATGCAGTGAAAGACCCCTCTCCGACCTCCAAAGAAACCAGATCCAACGTTTGTGAAAACTCCTCGAAAGTCAAAGGTGCCGTCAACATCTCGCGCGCCAATTTGCTAAGGCTTTTGAGCCTGTTGACGGGATCTGCTATGATGCGGATCTAAAACTCAGAAGGCGCCGAGTGTTCTAGCATCAAGCTTCGGGAACCTCCTCCCAACCACCTACTAACGAAGAATGCAAAAGGAAGAGGCAGTTAAGAGATCGCCGAGATCCAAACAAACTTGGATGCCAAAGGCTAAATCAACGCCTAAGGCAAAAGCAGGCGACGTTGCTCCCTAGCCTTCGTCAACTTCGGATCCCGCTCCTTCCGCTACCACGCCTCCGGTAGAACCCTACGGTGGTATAGACCTCCCCAGAGTTAGAATTCCATTAAAGGACCATCTCGGTTCTCTACCCGAAGATCGAGGCAAGGCGCCTGTTAAGGAACGCTTAGAACCGTTGAAGGAACCCCGAGCAAACATCCAGACTGGGGGTCATACGCGACCTCCTAACAAGTTGATTCCTGTAACCACCCGCTTGGGGATGCATACGAAAGGCCAGGAGCCTGTTAAGGTTTCACCCTCAGAAAAGTGTGATTCCAAACGAGTGACTCCTGCAGACACCAACAAGGCGTTGTTTACTCAGAAGAAAACGTGTTAAGCAGACGAACGCGTTATACCTGAGAATTCATGTAAACAGCCGATAGGTTACTCTGACCGCAATGTCGATGAGTTGTACTATCTGGCTGGGGGTACAAATAAATCTCGAAAGAGAGGTACCCGGAAAGCGGACTCTCGATGTCCATGTACCAAAATTATCAGGACAATATTATCAGCGTGTAGTTGCCCCAAGACCGCTCCACAGAGGGTCTCGGTATTCCAAAGGCTTTACTATAAAGCGTCGGTAACTAAGCCAAGGCATTTCCGTAGAAAAAGATCAGCTGTGCAAGACGATGAACTCCCTGAGGTCACTATCAATATGGCTGATAAAGGGAAGTCAATGCGAAGTTTCAGTTCTCGTCATTTTTTGGATGTATCCCAACGTATAACTCGGTTACACACATGAACTACTATGCATAGGGACTATTAATGGATGAATAGCAGATTATTCTCAGATGATGAAGCATCAGATGCGAACTCTGTCATCGCTTCTGACAATACGGTATCCAACATAGGATAATCTCGTGAGGCGTTCATGATCAACGCTGAACAAATGACCAAGATTATCGAGGATGCTTTGGCTAAGCAAAAAGAGAACTTCAAGTTCGAATTGGAGATAGACATGATACAGATGAAGGAAGAGCATGACCGACAGATGTAGGCTCTATCCAATCAACTTGGTGAATCCAGTCGTCGCACCCAGAACGCCGTAGTTGACAGCGATCCATAAGTGGACGAAATTATCATGGTCGACGTACCCCCTAAAAATACTAGGGGTGGTTCAAATGCACCCCCTACAGATAACAACGCTGGGGGTGGTCCCACCAAATATAATAATGCCGGGGGTGACCACATTGTTCCTCTTGGAAATCATCCAAAACATAATACAGACGAGGACAAGAAGATGAAAGTCCTTGAGAGCAAAATTAACGCTCTAATGTCTGCTCGAGAGGTAAAGAAGACCGATATTCCATGTCCTTACCCGAGAGAGTGGGATTCGATCCCGTATCCGGTGAAGTTCAACCTGATCAACTTCATGCCGTTCGACGGGAAGGGCTCGTCCACTCAGCATCTAATCTACTTCATGTCCCACTTGGGCACGATCTCCGGTAATAAAGCCTTGATGGTTTGGTCATTCGTCGGCACCTTTCGTGGGCCTGCCTTCGATTGGTACCGCCGTCTTAAGCTCGGAAGTATCAACAGCTGGGACGGTATGGAGAGCTCATTCCTCGGTAATTTCTTTAATGACGACGCCGAGATATTGTTCGCGGTGAAAATCGTTTTCATTGACGCCATTGTTATCTTAAGCAACAGTTTATCGGTTACAAAAGATCCGGTCTTTTTATAAGATCCGGTTACAACAAAATCAAAGAAAAAAGAAAAATTACAACTTTCCTTTTCTCGAACAAA